GGGGGGGGGGTGCTTGCCCAGTACTTGCATATGTAACATGTAGATGATATTTATAACCCCCTTTACAGTATATATGATTTTTTAAAAATTCAATAGCAGTTCTGATTAGGAAGCAAAACTCATATGCAGTGCAGCAGAAGAAAGTCTTATGTTAGCGTGGGTTTTCAAATCTGAATTACAGTCCATTAACTCTTTGACCCCTGAGTTTTTCTGTAATATTGCTTCAGTTTTGACGTACATACACTAAATAACATCTCAAAAGTTCCCTTTAAGGTAAAAGTACCTATAATCATACATATTTAGAAAGTAGACATATCAGGGTTTCAAAAAATATATATATTTATTAAGTTAATGTTTGCTGGGAGAGCTGTTTGCCTTTAGCTGTCTCTTACAGTTGACACTGTACATTTTGTGGTCACCGAAGCATCTGCTTACTCTCTTTCTTCGATATTTTCTTGACCACCACACCGTATATCTGCATGCTCAAGCTCTGAATTGTTGCCAGTATCTTCATCCATTTATATCGGACTAATCTTCACCTAACCTGAATTATCGTTAAAATATAGTGCTTCAAATATAGTTTGATCAACCCCATTCATGTCTGATGTCATTTTTAAAGGTTATAATTAGCACAGAGAGAAAATATTGCCAAAAAGTTAGTCCAAAATGGTGAAAAATTGATTGAAATTGAATCATGCAATAAACAACTTCAAATAAGCAACATAAAGTGTCATTTGACAATGGAGTCTTTTTTGGGACAAAATGTACATCTTATTTGGAACCACACGTAAAAGTGCGCTCAGGAGGGTTAACAAATCACCATGTGACCAGGCTCTGATGTAGTAGCAGATTGGTTATTAAGTGATGGTTGATATAAAATATTTGATTTCAGGATGAATACCATAGCTGTGAAATGGAAAATTTTCATTTCACAGCTGTGGTATGTATTGTATTACTAGTATTACTATGTGGGAAGGATGCATTTCAAGCGGTTTCTCAAATAGCCCTCAAAATTAACATTGAGCCACAACATCTACCTGTCAAAATACTTTCCATCTTGGATATAACTAACTTAGTCCTTTTCTTGTGTCCTCAGAATGCTTTATGCCTTCGTACAGAAGCAAAAGTCACAAAAATCTTCTTCTCAACTCACCATTACATACATTGTTGGTGGAAGATGTTTACTGGATGGAGATACAGTAAGCTGTATATTCCTTGTTAATCTCAGTAGTGATGGTATGATAAAAAAGAAGTCAAAAATAAGAGGGAAAGCTGAACGTTTACAACCCGCCTCATTGTATTAAGTTATAGTTAGATCAGAATGAGGCTTGAACATGAAAGTTTCTAAACATACTTAATCACATTGTGGTTAACTACATTTTGTTATACCGTAGGTTCAACGCTACGTCATA